GATTTTAGAAAGTGGGCAAAGCATAACGTGCACACTTACCACCTATGTGGATTTTAGAAAGTGCGCAAAGCATAACGTGCACACTTACCACTTATGTGGATTTTTAGAAAGTGCGCAAAGCTTATACATGTGCACTTACCATAGTATGGATTCAAGAGTTTTCCAAGCATCTGCTCACAGATACCCGGAAGTACTGATCCAAACGGTAGAGGAAAGCTCAAATACAACCCTCTAAGTTGAGGGGAGCACTGCCTGAGACAGCATTACACAAGACGGTTCTCGCAAATGCCACCTATACTTCCCACTCGATGCCTCAGCAAGAGGGGATATCCTGGTGATCGGGAGGCCCCTCAGGGCGACCTAGATACGGTAGACCAGACAGGGCAGCCTGAAAGCATAAGCCCAGCCCGGACGTCCAGGAAATTTTTGTAGTGCCGTGCCGGGGGCCTAATGATCAATAAGGCTCCTGCAGAAGCCTGTGACCTGGCCGCATAATCCAGGAAGTATGAAGCCGAAACCCGGCTTATCGTACCGTCTGGACATATATCGACAAGTGAAATAAACACTGCAAGTCGAGCACCCGGTTTCTGAACCCAGCAGAGGGGGTGCTCATCGAGGACCTACCCTAGAAAAAAGACAGAAACACACAGGTCCCGGGAAACACTGCAAAGAAAGCTAGCAGAAGGATTATACACACAACCACCAGCGCATTAAATATACATATATATGGATCGTACTCACACACCATGGTTCCTGCGTTGGAGCCTCGTCCGAAGAAGCCTCTGGTCCGGACCATAAGTAAGGTGGTCACTATGAAGCCATAGAACCAACCAAATATCATAGGTCCTGCATAGGAGACTGTAATGCAGGAAATTCCCACCTAACCTCGGTCAGGTAGAGAGATGCTGCTGCGTATGCCCCTGGCATTAGAGTGAGATGTCAAGGAGGGAGTCTTAAAAGAGGACGTCTCACCCATAGAGAGATAGCTGGCCAGCGTCTCTCTATAAGTGCATCGCCTCGATGTTGGCATAGCTCGTATGCTGGAATCGATGGATGCATGAGAAAAAAATGGCCTCTTCCATTCCTTCTCAATCACTGTATGGAAAACAGGAAGAAAGGAAGGCTCACCTGAGCTGGAGGGTTATAGCCAGAAAAATAACGTTCATCGAGATGACCTCGCGACGTCACTTTCTTCGCCCGCTTCACGGCAAGTAAAGCCTCGCCGTGGGGCGATCCATAACTTTCAAAAGCTCATCATACGCAGGGCAGGAGGATTGGGAAGGCTCAGCCTCAGCTTCTTTGCCCTCCTCAGACATTTCCTGCTTTTGCTGGGCTGAACCCAGCAGAGCACTGGCCCCTGAATCAGACAATGTTAATGAAATAACATCATCCTCCAGCGGCTCACTCTCGTCCACAGCCGACGATCGCGAGAGGGAAAACCCCTCTTCAAACTCATCGGCCCGATCCACCTGCGATCCCCACGAGCTCATTCTCCTCCATGCCTCAACAGCGGCGGGTCCTGAATCGCGGGAAGCAGATGGCTGCCCCTCTTTCCTCGAAAAGAGAGGCAAACGAGAGTGGAGTTTTTTCATTGGAAAGACACTCGCAGTGCATGCCGATTGCCCCCTCGGAGACATCGCGTGTGTGCTCTTCGCCCAAACAAATAATGCATAGATCGTGTGTGTCATCAGGTGTTAAACAATGACAACACGGATGCACACATCCTCTAAACGCTTTGTTAGTGCTCGCCATAATGATATGAATAGAAATCGCTCTTACCACAGAAATGCACACTTCAAACAAAACAGTCAATGAAGACGAAGAAGAGGATCATGTTTTCTCCCGGTGCCTATTTATACTATAGTCGCAGCGGTAGTGACGTCATGGCTGTCGCCGGCCAATGTGTTGTTGGTGTTATTTCAATGTATGCTTCAGACACGGGTCACAACGAGGCATTCCCCATAGCGACCCCTAGAGGATGCAGTTTGAAGTTCCCATTAAAGGGAACAATACTTCGTAACTGCTCCACAGTAGCGACTTGGAGCAGAAAGAGAAGAAAAGCATGTACACATTTGAAATAAATCGTTATTATGGCAGCAGCAGGTATGCAATACAATTTTAAAATGTGTTTTATAAACAGCATGTAATCTGTAATGTATTACAGAATGGAAGTAACTTGCACAACACTGTAAACAGATATATATCATGTTTAATTATATACAACTATAGAGCGTTTATTTTCCTATTTTTAAACAGGAGATTTAAATAATCAAATAATAAATAGGATTATATATTATAAAAAATATGCTTGGAATAATAAGAATAAATTTTCCATAATAAGTATTTTTAAAATACATTTTACACAATAAGAATACATTTGTAAATAAAATTCATTTTATTTACAGCAAACAATCATGTGACTGGTCACGTGAGCAGCACCTTCCCGGGTTTGTAGGATCACAGAACTCGCTCCTCCACTGTGAATAAATCGCCATCCGAATCCATGAGTTTTATCACTGAGGTGATATGTACATTTATTTTTACAGACGTCCATATGAGAAACAGTTACTGTCCGAATCGGGCTATAGTCCTCGTGCTCTATGGCGGTCCTTCTCCTCCCAGGAAAGCAGAGCTCTACCCATCTGCATGGGTTCCGGATCGACTGTGGGGCTGACTGTATCGCTGGAACTCGTAGTCAAAAAATCTGCTGGCACCGGGACATAACTTTGTGTGACTCGTAGATCACGTTGTTGTAGGCGGGTGTCCACACAAATCGCTAATTCAATCAATTCATCAAGATCGGCGCAAAAATTTCCTTCGCAATACGATCAGGCAGCCCATGCAGGAACATGTCCCACTGCGCCGCTTCGTTCCTCTTGCACTCAGCTGCCAGCGTGCGAAATTCGATGGAGCAATCAGAGATGGATCGATTGCCCTGGTGTAAATCACGGACACCTGCGTTACCAAGGCTTGCACCGCACGACCTGTAGCCAACATCTGTTCCTCTTGACGATCCATATGAGCATTGTTGGACAGAAACTCCCCTAGATCCGATGAATTCACTGAATCCATAATGGTCAGATTGTTATGTCATGGGGAAATAACGAGAGATTGAGTTGCGAATGCAGTTAACAATTTATTAGGGACATAGTAGAGGTAAACACAGCAAGAAGTCAAATGTTGAGGGTGCAGAGAGTTAGTCTTCCTCGGTAGCGCAGGGATTGCAGTGGGTAACCAGTCTCAGAGAAATCCAAGAAAACAATCCATAATTGAGAAGACAAGATAAAGCCAGACAGGAACGGGAACTGGAACACGGAGACACCAACAAGCTGCACAAGAGACACGACATGAGAACCCAAACAATCTGACAAAGGCAGAGCAAACATAGCAACACTATGGGGGAGCTGACGAGCCACAGCTGGTGCCAATCAGCTCGTCAGTGACAGACACACGAGTCAGAGTGAGTCACCTGTGAACTGTGACAGTTTTAAGCTTTTCTCTAAAGTTACTTCCCATCTGCCCATGCATCTGCTGGACTCAAAAGAGTTCTCACAAAAGCTATAGAAAATAAACTGTTTTATTACATTAGAAAGTCTATGGCTATGAGAAGATTTCTAAACCACTAAAATTTCCTATACACACTGGCAGTCTTATTCATAAGTTTAAAATTTGTTGCACAAGAATATCTTTGAGGGCGTTGAAGAAAAATACAGTATCATCAAAGTGAATAAAAATATTTGATCAGAGCAACTGAGATGTTAACGTTGGGACATCTTGCCGAATGCCACTCTTGACTAAGAAGAACATTAAAAAAAGGCTGACTTGAATATGCTAATATTCATTTGGCTAGACCTGTGGAGTTCTGCAAGAATGTTTTATGGTGTGATGTAACCCACCTGGAACTCTTTGGACCCATGGATCAGCGATATGTCTGGTGCAAAAAAGGCAGCTTATGAGCAGAAGAAAACCATCTCCATGGTCAAACATGGAGGTAGATCAATCTTGTTATGGAGGTGCTTTGCTGTTGCAGGAAGTGGAAATCTTTACTGTATGAAGGGCATCATGGATTCTTTAAAGTATCGGACCATTATGATGAAGATTGTAATGCCTTCAGTGCAGAGACTGAAGCTTGTTGATCAATAGACTGTCCTGCAGGACAGCCATCCCAAAGTATACATCCAAATTTACCAAGCAATACAACCAAGCTTGGTTCAAGGATCAGTTGTAAGTCAGTACATGAAGTGTGCATGCCAACAAGTAGTGTCAAAAATCACCCCATTATTTTGTTTTGTATTAAAAAGGTAAAAAAACAAAACAAAACCATGCTGATATCATATCATATAGCTCATATCGTTCCCTTAAATGAGCCGGCTCATAGAGAACAACATGTCACTAAAGTCTACTGGGTCATCTGATTTTAATTCAGTCCCTCCTTCCCGTGTTTTTATTGGACCCTTCTTCTGTCGTGCGTCGTCATTGGCGTAAACACTATCGTTAGACCTCTTCTTAATTTTCTTGATTTGTTTCGGGACTTTTTTCCAGACAGACGAGAGTTTATTAACATCTCCAGTGGATGTCTGACTGGTTTCTTTAGTTACACTATGTGGCTTCTTCTCGCTGGGATCATGCTGCTGGTGTGTGCTGCAGGTAAGGTGCTGTCTATGTAAAAGAGAAAACCGCACACAGCAGGAAGAAAACGCAGAAGTATATTTGGCTGTGTTTTTAGTTAGAAATTCATTTGATTAAATGAATTGTGTGATTTCTCTTTATTTTCTTCCTAAGATGCCACACCAATTGGCAGCAGAACAGTTCCCAATTTTGGAAAAATGTATCATGTCAAAGGTAAATTGTTGTCTAAATTACACACAGTACATCTCAGTACAGGACAGTTAATTTTACAGTTGCATATCCCTTTTATGTAGGTGAGCTCTCTCTGCCACATTCTGAGATAAAAGAACCGTTTGAAGCTTGGTACGACCTTGAGGGGAACAGAAGTCGAATCGACTATCATAATGGTCAGTGATCTTCTCAAGATAAAGTCACACAGTATTGAAATCAAAACAGATTTTGTATGTAGTTTCTCATCATTGATGCTGTCTATACAGGCAAAGTGCGTACCTATCTGATTGGAAATGACTTGGACTATGGTGCCATTTACACGATCACACCAGTCACCACTGCAACAGAAATCCAAGCTATTAAGTGTTTCCAACTTAACGGTACCCAGGAGGGTCCAATACGTCCACAGGCAGCACTGCCTGATCTGCAGGGCTTTGAAGTATATGTACTACTTAATGGCCCAGTTCACATAAAAATGAAAATGTCATGAAATAATTTCTTTCAAACCTAAATTACTTTCTTCTGTTGCAGTTTGAGAAGATGGAAAATTATGAAGGTGTTCTGTGTGAGGTCTGGAAAAACGTCACACAGGTTGGCCATAAGAAGAACACGTATCGTCTGTGGGTCACGCGTCCAGAGGGAAATGATTCCCCAGCCACCCCACACCGCTTTGAGATGGTGGGCTTCAACACTCTTTTGGAGTCCCACAATGACAAATACACTATTGACTACAGTGACTTCAGCCCACAAACTGAGTCTGACATTTTCATACCACCTGGAGGTAACTGGAAAACAAACATTCAGTGAAATGCTTTTAGCTGACCACACACACTTTTAGATTTTAAGGCAGATTTTAAGCTGATTTGGACCCCCGAACTAGTGGGGAGGCGTGGCCTGATTTGAGACTTGTCACAAACTATATATTTTTCCAAAAAATCCTCTGTTGTGTGGCGTCATTACATTTATTTAACTGCTCGAGACGGAGCATACTCGAACTCAAATCGTAAATATCAAACTTGTTTGATATTTATGACTCTTGATCGCGCTGCCTCTGACATGATACATAATAGCCAATGAGAGTGAGCAAGCCTCACCTACCAGATGTTGTGTGCTTCTATAGCTAAAACTTGGCAGCCACAAACATGCCACGAAAGTAGAGTACTGAGAAAGAACATCACCCATATTCTTTTTTTTTTTTTTCTATTTATTTTTTTGCTGTACAACAGAACACGCGCCAGGAGAGCCAGCTAACAGCATCGATTGTCCTACATGTGTCTTTCTTCTCTATAGTCACGTTTGATCTCACAAGTCTCTGTGAGATTTTGTGTCACTGTGAAATCGTTCCTACAATCAACAAGTGTCTGGTCGATTCATCTAGTGTGCACGTTCAGAAGATTATAAGGCTAAAAATCAGTTGAAACGGTCTTAATTTCTGTGGTCTCCCATAGTTTTAAAATCGGTTAGGATTTGAAAATCGTTTAGTGTGTCCCAAGCCTTTGTCTGCTTCTTTTACACTTACAGATCACCAGAGATTCACTGAGGTATTATGTGTTTAGGAATGACCTGTGAAGAGTTTCCTGATCCTGTTGAGGAGCATCAAATATTGGCCAACCCCATTCAAGACTATGTCAACACCTCCCCTGTTAGCCACGCCCACCGTCTGTTTGGCCCCTTTAAGGAGAAGTTTAATCGTCAGTATGAAAGTGAGAAGGAGCATGAGGAGCGTGAGAACTACTTTATACATTGTCTTCGGTGAGGAAAAACAACAAATATTGCAGTGTGGATGTACAGTAAACAATATGTGAACTTGTCTAATTTAAGATATGCATGTTTTCTTTTTTACATCCTCTTCCTTCCCAGGCTTGTGCACTCTAAGAACAGAGCTGGTCTTACATACAGTCTCGGTATCAATGACTTCTCTGATTGGTCAAAAGCAGAGAGTGCCAGGTTGACAGGAGGTTTACTGATTCCAGATCGGGAAAAGGATACAGAATAGGAGTTTGTCATGCAAATGTAACGGGGGGGGAAAATAATACATTTTCTTAAAGTCTGCATAAAACAGAAGTTGAAATCATCTTTTCTTCCCTATTCCCAACTATTTTGGTTGGGACTTGATTTTGTCCATCGGAAATTGATTGGATCATTGGATTGTTGTTATTTGCTAGTGCTATGATCACATGTTGCTGGTTGCAGTAGACAAAAACTCAATAAAACAGTTTTGAAATCTGTGAGTTGTGAAAATTGATGTGATTTAGAACAGTAAAATTGGACATTCATTATTACAACAACATGTCACACATTTAAGCTGGAAAAAAACAGATGTAGCCTAATCAAAGCAAAATAATTATATTGTGAATAATAAACCCAAATACCTGAAATCTGAATTAAAAATGGTCAATGATTAATTTCTATCATTTCTATTTTTCAACTTGGCAACTTGTGTATTATCTTGCAATCAAAGTTTCCCACTAGTAAATAAAACTTCACTTTGACATTCATATGCTCAGAACTCATAATAACGATATTTCCAACTCCAGTTACATAACTGTACAGTATAGCCTGTTGCTCTGTGTGTTTCTGAGTGAAGCTGCTTATTTTTGTCAGCTTATTTTTTTTATTCTGTTTTCAGCAAATCAGAGCTGCACTTTTCACAATGCTGCCAACTCCATGTCTATATTTGCTGTGAGTTTAACATGCATTTAGGAATGCAATGTGGACTGGCCTCACTGTTACACATTTGAATAATTATTTTACAACATTTTCGTGGGTAGAAATTTACAGCATTTCACCAATATAATGGCAAAATAAAATCTTGAGGATTTTATTCTTGAGGATTCAACACACTTGCCTGAGTGAGTCTGAAGACCTTGGCTGCGTCCAAAGGCTTAGGCAGCTGACTTGTCCCGCTGCTCTATCAGGCAATGACTTTGCAGGCAGCCTTTGTGCATGAAGTTTAATGATTTAAAACAAAATAGAGCGAGTGAGTGAATATTCAATATACTACAAATTTCTTGCTAGAAATGACATCAAAAGTGAAAAAAGACATACATTTATCAAAAACATACATTTACACAAACTAACCATCAACCTCAACTTTTAGATGCCATCTTTATTTTTTATCTCAGCTGTCACGAATGGAACACATCTGCTCCTGCGTCAGCAGCAGCATGCGTCGTGTTACTCTTGTGAAAGCACGGCAGAGACTGACACGGAAGAGAAGAAATTGTTGAATGAAGTCGTTATTTTTGTTTTCTCTGTGCACAAAAAGTATTCTCGTAGCTTCATAGCATTACGGTTGAACCACTGATTTCACATGGGCTATTCTAATGATGCCCTTACTACCTTTCTGGGCCTTGAACGTGTCAGTTGCGTTGCTTTATATGCAGGGTCAGAAAGCTCTCGGATTTCATCAAAAATATCATAATTTGTGTTCCGAAGATGAACAATGGTCTTACGGGTTTGGAACAATATGAGGGTGAGTAATTAATGACAGAATTTTCATTTTTGGGTGAACTATCCCTTTAATTAGACTTAATAATGTGCTGGAGCTAGTAGGCTACAAGCTGCAACAGTTGAGTGCATGAAGTGTCCAACATTCCACACATTTTAAATCCACTTTTTCTTTTTGTTATTTTCAGTGTGAACGCATTTTACACTATACTACAAAACGGCATAGAATAGTGCATACTTATGCAAACTAGTATGCACTAAACTGTTGCCTTATGAGAACAGTGGCAATTTCCTAATTTCTAAATCATCATTTGAATCATTACATTTGGTTAAATTATTTTGGCAAAATATATCATTTTTAATGTATAACTTTTAGTCTGTTTGTAAAGGGCCCATGGTGACTTTGCTGGTCAGACCTCAAATGAAATTAAACACTAACTACTGATTAAAACCACACTTTTTTTGCTTTAATGTACATGGTATCAGTGTACAAAAATGAATGAATAAGGTCTGATATTTGATCATCTTTTGTGTGACTAGTTTACTTTAAAGTTTACTTTCATTTGTATTATCTATGAATAGATTAAAAAAGTCAAATAAAAAATGAGACTTTGTGTAGGCCTATAAATAAAATTACAGACATTGTGCGTAATTGTAATATAATAGTAATATGATTTCAAATTTATACATTTAACTTTTGTGAGGCATGTCTTCAACCTAATTGTGTAACTTGTTTGTAGGCCTACCAGTGATAATTTAATCACGAAGCCTAAACCTCTTATGTCTTGTTTTGGTCACATTTTTTCACGCTCAGTAGCTCATCTCATGTTTCAAGCATTTCTGCAATTTTACTTCCCATCTCTCATGTCACTACATTTCACTAGTAGCCTAAGAGATTGTTTTTCTCGCTTAATTCTGATTTAAAGTGATTCGTATAGTCAGAAACGTGTAATATATGTGAATTTCTAGTTAGAAATGAATTCAGCAACTTTAACCTTTATAAAGGAAAACAGCTGACTACAGTCATGTGACAGCAATAGACACACTTGTCATCTGATTTTAATTCAGTCCCTCCTTCCCGTGTTTTTATTGGACCCTTCTTCTGTCGTGCGTCGTCACTGGCATAAACACTATCGTTAGACCTCTTCTTAATTTTCTTGATTTGTTTCGGGAATTTTTTCCAGACAGACGAGAGTTTATTAACATCTCCAGTGGATGTCTGACTGGTTTCTTTAGTTACACTATGTGGCTTCTTCTCGCTGGGATCGTGCTGCTGGTGTGTGCTGCAGGTAAAGTGCTGTCTATGTAAAAGAGAAAACAGAAAGAAAACACAAAGATCGTTGATCTCTTGATTAAACGGCTGAGACACATTTCCTGTGGTGTTTTAACATTAAACGTGTTGATGATGAATGCGATAGTATTTTTAGGCTCAGTATGTTAAGTTTTGCATTCATAGTGTATTTATTATGTTAATGAATTAATTAGAAAAAAATATTTAGATATCTGTTTTCTTCCCCAGATGCCACACCATTTGGTGGCAGAACAGTTCCTGATTTTGGAAAGATGTATCATGTTAAAGGTACATTTTTATCTACTTGCACTGTACGTCTCAGTACAGTACACTTCTTTTTAAAGTTACATATCCCTCTTTAATAGGTTTGCTTTCTTTGCCTTATGCTGAGATAAAGGAGCCATTTGAAGCTTGGTACGACCTCAAGGGGAAAAGAAGTCGAATCGACTATTATCATGGTCCGTGATCATCAAATAATAAAAAAACAGTGTTTATAGTAAGCTGTATGTAGTTTATGTATGCTGTTTTCCTAATTGCTGCGGTCTATAGGTACAGTGTGCACTTTTTTTATTGGAAATGACTTGGACTATGGTGCCATTTACAAGATCACACCAGTCACCACTGAGACTGAATTCAATACTTTGAAGTGTTTCCAGCTTAATGGTACCAAGGAGGGTCCAATACTTCCACAGACGGCACTGCCTGATCTGCAGGGCTTTGAAGTATGTACTACCTGTATGACTTACTATCTTCTGTGGAGCAAACCAAAGCAACTAAGATGTTTATGAAGTTGTTTGTGTTGCAGTTTGAAAAGATGGAGTATTACGCAGGCAATCTGTGTGAGGTCTGGGAAAACGTCACACAGGTTGGCCATAAGAAGAACACGTATCGTCTGTGGGTCACACGTCCAGAGGGAAATGATTCCCCAGCCACCCCACACCACTATGAGATGGTGGGCTTCAACACTCTTTTGGGGTCCCACTATGATAAATACCTTATCGACTACAGTGACTTAAGCCCTCGAATTGATTCAGACATTTTCAAACTACCTGGAGGTAAATACAATAAATGCATAACACACATTCAATTATTTGACATTTTTCTGCCGCTTACAAACCATCTTATAAAATGCTCAATTTTGTGTTTAGGAATGACCTGTGGTGACTTTCCTGGTCCTGGACTGGAGCGTCATTTATTGGCCAACCCCATCCAAGACCTTGTCCACACCTCCCCAGTTGGTCATGCCCACCGTATGTTTGGCCACTTTAAGGAGAAATATGAGCATCAGTATGAAAATGAAAAGGAGCATGAGGAGCGTGAGCATAACTTTGTACATAATATTCGGTGAGGAAAAACTAGAAACATTACTAGAGATTTGGTTATATGCATTAAAATTGAAAAAAAGACCTTAATTGCAAAAATATTTTTTTATTAAAAATTACAGTTTGAGGGACTGTGTTTGAGAATATTATTGTGACTGACATTTTTGAAAAGGCTAGTTTTTAAGTTTTCAAATGGTATCTTATGTGTATACATAGTAACTAGCCACATGTCGAACATAAAGTATTTTTTTCAGCAGCAAATTTGTTTGATTTGAAAGAAAAAATGCTTATAATTCGGAAGAAATATAGAAAAATAAATTAAGTTTTTTTACATTACATAGTCATGTCAACTACCTAGAAATAAATGAGAATATGGAGCCATAATAAACTATACAATATCATATAATGAGAAGCAGAAATCAGTCTGTGAACTTGTCTGAAGTCATTCTTTTCACATACATTCTTCCTCAGGTATGTGCACTCTATGAATAGAGCTGGTCTTTCATTCGCCCTCTCTGTCAATCACCTGGCTGATCGGTCACAGGAAGAGCTGACCATGATGAGAGGATGTAAAAGGACTCATGTTCACAGAAACGCTCAGCCTTTTCCCTCTGAAATCCGCTCTATAGCCGCCCCTGATTCAATAGACTGGAGGCTGTATGGTCTGTATATCTTCGGTTGCATGTGAAGTCAAAATCGTTCCATGCATGTTTAGCGATTCAGATGATATTGTAACGTATTTTCAGGTGCTGTGACACCAGTGAAAGACCAGGCTGTGTGTGGATCCTGCTGGAGCTTTGCCACCACTGGAACACTAGAGGGAGCACTTTTCCTGAAGGTAAATCTACATACTGATACAGATTTGAACTAGTTACTTCACTGAAATAGAGTTGAACTGGCCCTTGTTTTTCTCTCTCTCTTAGACGGGACAGCTGACGTCATTGTCCCAGCAGATGCTGGTAGACTGCACATGGGGATTTGGGAACAATGGTTGTGATGGAGGAGAGGAATGGAGAGCTTTTGAGTGGATCATGAAACATGGTGGCATTTCTACCACCGAGAGCTATGGAGGATATATGGGCATGGTGTGTGTACATACACCACACATTTCCAGCTAACCCAAATGTTTATGATTGATTTAAATAGTTGTTTAGGTCCCAGCTTGGAAAACTGTTCTGGAATTGACATCTATTATCAGAAAAAATATTTTCTGATTGCATGAAAAGGTCCACCTATTATAATTTTCTTTCTAGAAAGTAGAAATTAAGTTTTTGATCCATCAGATACTGGTGGTTAAAAAAGGGATCACTAATCCGATCACTGTGTGTGTTTCAGAATGGTTTGTGTCATTACAATAAGTCCTCCATGGTGGCAAAATTGAGCAGTTACACTAATGTGACCAGTGGTGATATTGTGGCACTGAAGGCTGCTATCTTTAAATTCGGCCCTGTAGCAGTCAGCATTGACGCTGCTCATCGTTCCTTCGCCTTCTACAGCAATGGAGTCTACTACGAACCAGCATGCAGTGAGTCTTCACACATTCATACTGTCTCACTAACTTAAATCCTAATATTTCACACTTATTATTAACTGTACTTTTCTCATCATGCCACATACTACATGCTAAGATTTAATGTACAATAATATATATTATTTGCTTTGCATAATTTGCCTCATCATTAAATATATCTTACAAATAAAACAAAAGTAATACTATTAATATACATAGTATTTCATCCAAAAAGAAGGTTTCCATCTGCAAAACTTTACAATTTTTCATATGGAAACAATTTGGAAAATAATGTTTATTAACTATAACTATACATATTTATATACACCGGTCAGGCATAACATTATGACCGCTGACAGGTGAAGTGAATAACACCGATTATCTTTTCATCACAGCACCTGTTAGTGGGTGGAATATATTAGGCAACAAGTGAACATTTTGTCCTCAAAGTTGATGTGTTAGAAGTAGGGCTGCACGATTAATCGCATGCGATATTTAACGCGCATCTTGTCAGAAAGCCGGTTCTGTAATCAGCGGTAAATCTCCATCACCTGCGTGCTTTCACATTGAGCAGCATTAACTACACAGAGCCGTTGTTCACTGACGAGCTGCGCTAAAAATCGCGCGAATATGAACGTGGTTTGGCGCAGCTCGTCAGTGAACAACGGCTCTGTGTAGTTAATGCTGCTCGATGTGAAAGCACGCAGGTGATGGAGATTTACCGCTGATTAAAGAACCGGCTTTACTCATAAGATGCGCGTTAAATATCGCTTGCGATTAATCGTGCAGCCCTAGTTAGAAGCAGGAAAAAGGGGCAAGTGGAAGGATTTGAGTGAGTTTGACAAGGGCCAAATTGTGATGGCTAGAAGACTGGGTCAGAGCATCACCAAAACTGCAGCTCTTGTGGGGTGTTCCCGGTCTGCAGTGGTCCATATCTATCAAAAGTGGTCCAAGGAATGAACAGTGTTGAACCAGCGACAGGATCATGGGTGGTCAAGGCTCATTGATGCACGTGGGGAGCGAAGGCTGGCTGTGTGGTCCGATCCAACAGACGAGCTATTGTAGCTCAGATAGCTCAAGAAGTTAATGCTCGTTCTGATGGAAAGGTGTCAGAATCATAGACTGTGGTCAGAATACACAGTGCATCCGAGTTTGTTGCGTATGGGGCTGCATAGCCGCAGACCAGTCAGGGTGCCCATGCTGACCCCTGTTCACCGCCGAAAGCACCAACAGTGGGCACGTGAGCATCAGAACTGGACCACGGAGCAATGGAAGAAGGTGGCCTGGTCTGATGAATCACGTTTTCTTTTACATCACCTGGATGGCTGTGTGATGATTTGGGCAGTGTTCTGCTGGGAAACCTTGGGTCCTGCCATCCATGTGGCTGTTACTTTGACACGTACCACCTACCTAAGCTTTGTTGCAGACCATGTACACCCTTTAATGGGAACGGTATTCCCTGGTGGCTGTGGCCTCTTTCAAAAGGATCATACGCCCTGCAACAAAGCAAAAATGGTTCAGGAATGGTTTGAGGAGCACAACAACGAGTTTGAGGTGTTGACTTGGCCTCCAAATTTCCCAGATCTCAATCCAATTGAGCGTCTGTGGGATGTTCTGAACAAATAAGTCGAGGTGGGAGGCCCCACCTCGCAACTTTCAGGACTTAAAGGATCTGCTGCTAACATATTGGTGCCAGATACCACAGCACACCTTCAGGGGTCTAGTGGAGTCCATGCCTCGATGGGTCAGGGCTGTTTTGGCAGCAAAAGGGGGAGCAACACATTATTAGGAAGGTGGTCATAATGTTATGCCTGATCGGTGTGCATATTAAACGTATAACAGCAATAAATAGGTATACGTTTTCATCTATAAAGTAATTTTATATATTATTTTTTATATTAATTTATTATATAAAAATCTGAAAACATTTTGCAGCATGTTTTTATATGCAAAACATTTTGGCAAATTATATTTATATAGTGGATTCATATATTATTTAGTTTATTATTTTATTATAAAATTTTGAAAATTTGATGCACATTGTTTATATTTCATATTTCAAGTACAATCTCATGTATTTTATTTTGAGTACAGCTATGTCTTACAGGTTGCTTAATATAAAGCATGCAGTACTCTTTTCTATCGAAACCAGCAAGTCATGTTTTACGTTTCTACTTCCACAGAAAACGTGACTGATGACTTGGATCATGCTGTGCTAGCAGTTGGTTATGGGATGATGGATAATGAGCCCTATTGGCTAGTGAAGAACTCCTGGTCCACTTACTGGGGCAATGATGGTTATATTCTGATGTCCATGAAAGACAACAACTGTGGTGTGGCCACTGATGCTACTTGCGTGACATTAGCCTAATATACTTACATTTTTCAAATAAATCACACAAGGCAATAGAAGAATTGTTTTCAACAATTTTATTGCAGATGCTGGACAACTGATCACAGTTTTATTGTGCATCAGTTGGAATGTCAATAAATGGAAAGTCTTAATAACAAAATGCTTGTTCATTGTAAAATCACGTCAAGACTTGCATTCCATCATGCAGCAAAAGTAACACACACACTCATACTTGTTCACAGGCAATGGTCAGTAACTAGCAGGCTTATATAACAGTTTCATTGGACCGCCAATTGATTCATTCTCATGTCGTCATCATTTTAAGTCTGAGGACTGTGGTAACCATCCAGCTTTCTTAATGGTGGTTCCACTGATGGTTCTCTCTTCTGGGAAAAAATGTCTTTATATTTCATCAGGTTAAAAGACATCAGTCACAGGTGTACCGAACAGTTACACCAGTCATGACAGAGTAAAAGCATTTAGATCCTAATAATCATGCAGTAATATATAAAAATGTTTTGGTTAAAAGTATAGTTCATCCAAAAATGAAAATTCTGTCATTATTTACACACCCTCTTGTTGTTGCAAACACATTTGACTCAGATATTTTAAAGAATTTTGGTCAGTGAGTCAAACTTGGATTCAGGAATTAATCATTCAGCACGACCACCTAATAAGAGCAATTTGTTCAGTGATCTAGATCTGTGCGAGATACTGACTCTGTGACCTGGCCACATCAGTTTACAGGCTTTTCTGTGAATAACAACATGACATTTTAGTCTGTTCTTCATTTGAATCTTTTCACATGGATTCAGAAACCTTAGAAATATAGTAGTGTTTTTATGGTGTTCTAGCAGTTTCCCAACCGGGGAGCCGTGTAAAAATAATTTTTAAAGATTTTTAAATTGCTAAAATGGTTAAAAAAATCAAACATCTGTTGTATAATATCAATTTCTGATGTTGCCAATAATTGGAGCTGCACCGAAATTCCAACTGCCGAAAATGAGTTCACCGCTCCGGTTTCAGTTTCACATGGTGTGATGCTCTGCGTATTATCCCACTCTATGTGTGCGCTCCACTCCTATACCGTTCATGCTCATCTGAACAGCAAAGTCCACTCAAAAATCGAGCCGACAGGAAACATCGATGTAGTACAGTATTGTTTCTGTTTGCAACAGCCCTACTGTACTGTAACATGATGTGGTATATGGGCAACTCTGGTAACGCTGCCCTCTCATTCATTGATCTGCTAACCGCTATATAGCCTATGCACATGTGTTCTGATAATAATAGCTTTCTAGGACTAAACATTATTTGGATATAATTGTTAAAAGCCTTACTGTTAGACCTACCTGAAAAACTAAAAAGCAATTTATCGTTATTATTTTTGTGCTATCATTAGTCATTTGTTTATTTGTTCTTATTTTATTACTGACTGCTTTACTTGTCATTTTTTATTCAATGCAAAGTTTGAAATCAAGCTATCTTGTGCTACTGCAACAAAATTACCCCAATGTAAAATCAAAAATACACTGAGTGTGCAAACATTTGTGAGATAGCTAGTAAAATTGGTAATTAAACAATGTTTACATATAAATAAAAGCCTACATGAAAATCGGTCATAAATTGGTCTCTTCATTAGAAATTAGCCTACTGATTGCCACCATTGATGGACAAAAAATTTAATAATATAAAAAAATATCTGTATTACAGTATAGGCCTATTCTGCAGTTCTTCCCTGTTCTACCAAATATACTTTTCAAGGTATCATATCGAAGTTAGAATTTTTTAAGTATTGCGACAATTAATTTTGCAGTGTGCCACAAATTTGTTAAAATTTCCAAAGGGTGCCGTGACTGAAAAAAGGTTGGGAAACACTGAGAGCATCATCACCTCAGGTTACCTTTTACCTAGTCATTTGTAACCTGCCATTTAGTGGACACATTTTCATTTGAATATTCTCTTACTCTTCTTTAACTACAAAGCAGGCCTATAACTGACCAATGAACTGAAACGTAATCTACAGCGCTGTTTAATCTTGACGACAAGTTGTAGGTCAAACGAGAAGTCTTAGCAGAGAAGTCTAATTTCCTTTGGGTTCATTGGCTTTGGATTTATTAGTAAAATAACATCTAAGCAATATAAGGACTACAGCAGTTGTTTGATTTGTCAAGCAAGTAAACAAGTAAATGTCAAAATATACCATAATGTTAACCAAGGATTTTACTATACTCAATAAATAAATAAATACATACATACATACACAAATAGTCAGTTTTCAATTCCACAGTGACCCCATCAGTTGAAAATGCTCTTCCAGGTTTTAGGTTAACAAATAGTTCTATTTCTATTTTGAACGAATTTTTAATACTCTGGTTATTTTTGCTCAGGTAAGTAATAGGTGAAATATTCATTTGATAATTTTATTTATTGATTTAATATTTATTATTATTAATTTTAGATTTACATTATGAACTACAAACATATCACTTTTGGTAAGGGGCATCTGATTTCTCAACACAACCCATTCTAAACCTAAAGAAATTGCTAGAAATAAACACAACCCAATATCCCATAATGCCTAGCGCGTATTACATGGAGTGCATAGTGGTCATTTCCGTCAGTTTTGAAAATGGAGGCGAATGGACTGAAGCTGAATTTCTGGGAGAACGGACCGAAACCCGGTCAGTTTTATTCATTCCCGGGTAACAGCAGCAGTAGTGCGGCTCCAGGATGTGGACCCATCAAACACACACTGTAAGTTCATCACGAATTGTCAGTTTTGTGCTTCGCATTAAGTTTGTAGTTTCGATTTGCCTTTCTCTGCTGCATCATCATGGAGGAAAGTTGCTGTTTAAAGTTACCCCGGAAAATGGTCTCGGATATATATTTTAAAATATCTTCGGTTCGTTTTAATATACTCTGAATATAATTGATCTCTTTCTTTTCCCATTCTGTTACTAGTGAAAAAGTAAGAGTTGAATGGTCCAGTGATAAGTTAGCTTGCTAGCAATAATGCTAATGAATAGGCAAATATCAAAACCAGTGCGTTTTAATAGACTTATGTACAATATAGATGAGGAAGTATATACGAAGTACAATATATATGTCTTGACATAATTGTGGACATAAATAAGGCTAATAAAGGCCATAAGTAAAATTAAAATACACAATTTAAAAATCTTACGGTCGATTAATAAATAGAAATGCGCTATATGCAAGAACACATCAGATATTACAATATTCAAATGTGAACTTGTATTGCTTTCAGTTTCAATCACTAATATGAAGGTACATTTTGTTAAAAATATTGATGGTGATGTCCATACGTGTACTATGCCGTTTAAAACGTCAATAATATACATTATTGTGTTGTTATTATTATTTTTATATATATTTACTGGAGAAATGGTTGCGTAAATATTTCACAATATTACCATTTTGATTAAATAAATGCAGCCTTGGTGAGCACTTCTTTCTAAAACACTGAAAAAATCTTACAGCCCCCAAACTTTTGAATGGTAGTGTATGCATATTTACATTACATTTGTCTTTTTTAATATAGAATGTTTAATGTTTCTCAGCAACCCCATGGTAACGGGCACATCAGTGCTGGGTCTGAAGTTCACTGGTGGTGTGATCATTGCTGCTGACATGCTCGGCTCTTATGGCTCTCTGGCACGCTTCCGCAACATCTCCCGGCTCATGAAGGTCAACAACAGCACCATCCTGGGAGCTTCAGGAGACTATGCTGACTACCAGTACCTTAAACAGGTCATTGAGCAGATGGTGTAAGTACACACACATTTCTTTATGATATGGTTGAAGACTTTCTTTGTCAGCTTTGAGACCCTCAAATCAGTATATGCTAATAGGTAGAACTTGATCTGTGTTTGTTTAGGATTGATGAAGAGCTACTTGGAGATGGACACAGCTACACCCCCAAAGCCATCCACTCCTGGCTCACGCGGGTCATGTACAACCGCCGCAGCAAGATGAACCCCTTGTGGAACACAGTGGTCATTGGTGGATTTTACAATGGAGAGAGGTGGGACAGTATCCAGACAAGTACTTTTGAGCGTACAAAGTAGTTTATTTGTGTTAGGATGAAAGTCAGCATTAAACAAAATTCACAATCCAATTTTTTCTGGAATCAGATTTATTTAGGAGTGAAACATAGATAGGGAGAGAGGGACTTGATTTTATCTTTTGGGTATCACTCTCAAATAACAGGTTGAAAAATTAAGAGATATTGGTGACTGAAGAGGTGAATTTACAATACACAAATTATTACATTTTGGTGAAACATTTATAAAGAACATTATTTTTCTTTGCTGTTTCAGTTTCAAAGCAGCTTTATAGAAAATCATGATGCTAATGTTTATAATAATATCCTAATATCGTCATGCCTTATAGTCACATTTAGCAGATTAGTGCTGAGCTTTACACTTTTGCAACAATCAAGCAGTTGAGATATACTATCTAGTATTTATACATCAAACTTTATATAAAGAGCTGTGTGATAATACAGTTGTATTTTGTGACAAAAAATCAGGCAGTTGATATTTGCTATAGTATATATCGCTATATCTGAGTGTGTTGAATATATATATATATATAGAGAGAGAGAGAGAGAGAGAGAGAGAGGGAGCTAGCTGTGTGATACTAGTTTAAATTTTTTGAGACAATATAAGCATTTATGTGACATTATATGTATGCAGGTAAAGTAGGATGTACTATATACAAATTATAATATATTGTTGGCCTATAATATAGTTTATATTTTCAATAATATAACAATCAAGCAGTTGAGATTTTCTATATTGTACATAGCATTTACCATAAGTGCACTGTATGTTTCTGGGTAATATATTACTTATAGTAGTTGTATAATTCATTACTAATTATTTATTTGTTGATTCATTTGAGTTATTCATTTGCTATCTAGTTATAATAAGAATGATAAAACCTGTAAAAACCTGTTTTTTTCCGTTTACAATAATTACCATTCGGTGATGTATATCACTGACACAGTTGTATAGTAAATATGGTCAATTTTGTGACCTAATTAGGACTTTGAGTTGTCTGCTGTTATTTAACTTTCATTGAACACTGTTTTTTTGTCACTCTCTTAAGCTTTCTTGGTTATGTGGACAAGTTAGGAGTTGCATATGAAGCCCCAACAGTAGCAACAGGATTTGGTGCTTATTTGGCTCAGGTAAGGTTTTATTTTTTGTTCATCAGATTGTCTTGA